CTGTACTGTTATTTTTTATTAAACTTTTCTGGCATTAAACACCTTTTTCAGATCGTCTGTTGCAGGTTTTAATTCAAGGTTGTGATACTGTGATCTTAAGTTTAGCTTTTTTTGTATCGATCATTAGCTGGAACCTGTAAAGTCCATTAATATTATAGAAAGAATAATAGAATGATTAAGCAGCCAGACATATTTATTAAACAGATGTTGCCAGAGTAGGATCCTTCCTAAATTCAGCTGATTATTGTTAGTGTTACACTTTACACATCTGTGAGGGTCAGCTTGGATCCATTTGCGTTGATGTACTATAAATTTCACCATCAGAGGGTGAACACAAGGCTCCATGTGAAATTCCACGTCTGCTTTTATTTTTTTGTGACCTGGAGATACTATACTTGAGAAGGCTGTCTGAGTATAATCCTTATGTGTGAGCACCATGGGCGGGTGTTCAGGTTCTTTCTGTCCTCTGTTAACATCTTTGTCTGCTAGCAGGCAATGTAACCAAACACAGTTTTCATCCAACAGTTACTTTGTCTTGCTGTTTTAAACACACACCTATGTTTATTCAAAGCGATGTGAACTCTGCAGTAGATTATGTGGTACAGAGGAAATTATAGCTATTTGGATAATTTTCCTCCTAACATTGAAATCTCTCCCAGCTCGGACTATTGTTCAGTAGCAGTTTGTGATTTGCAGGTCTGCTGTAGCATAAATTAACCTTATTTTTAATGGTAAATTGCGTTCCTGCAGAGTAAGAAAAAGTGGAATAAGATATGTTCTGTTTTAAATTGTGCATCTTTTTCGACACATGCCAATCAGCCATATACATTTATAAGTAACTGCTAGTACAAATTAGAGGAGTAGAACAGACAAAAAAAAAACCTCCACCAAAACGAACCTGATGGGAACAAAAGTAAGGAGTGACTTTAGAAGAGTGCGCTGTTGTTTTGATTAAAAGCATATCTGAAAAATGCACGAAAATAACATTAATGTCAGAAGCAAATAAAACAGGCAAAAGCAGATTAACATAATAAAAGTTATCCTCCTGTGCAGGTGTTCCACTCTTCAGAGCTAAATTAATCTGCAGCCCAGTAGGCTGAGATAAACAGAATAAAAAAGAAAAACAACAGCAAAGCCAAAGCTTAGGTAATAATAAAAGTTTAATAAAGTCCTGCACAAAATCCAAATCGCGTTTTTGAATATTTCACCTAATTTTAAGAAAAAATAATTTACAAGGTTTAATATCTCCCCTCTGCTAAGATATGGTTCATTATGTTCTTCATTTGTTCCCTTTATTTCATAAATAAATGCAATTTAAAAAAAAAACAAGTGTCCATTTAGATGCTCTTTGTCACAATACAAAAATAAATTCTGGAGCGTGCTCTTGAAATGAATACAATTAATATCATTCTGACAGTTTCTGCATTTTTGTAATGTCAGTGGGGTTATCTTAGCAAACATGAAACAGATATTCCACATTCAGCTCGTACATTGCGCTGCCTTTGTGAAATACTGAATGCGCAGACACACGAGCTAAGAATAACTACGTAAGTGAGTCTAAATACAGTCTCTTATTGAGTCTCTCAACCATACATGTTCTTATATGTTGCCTAGCAACAATGCTGTACCCTTTTCCATTAAAAAAATAAACAAATCCTGTTTTACTGTTGATAATTTCTATCCATTAAACACCAAGCACTTAGCATACTTTATAGAACTTACTTTATAGAACATGGTGACCCAGATGTCTTACAAACATACCTGCTTTAAAACCACTGGATTCATTTTTAATGCAATCCCATCTTTCTTTAACTCCCAACATCTCTTTGCTTTGAATTCACAGCAAATCCCAAACGCCCACAAGGACTGGGTGTGTGCTCTTGCATATGTACCAGGAAGGCCCATGCTGCTGAGCGGCTGCCGCGGCGGCATGCTGAAAGTGTGGAACGTCGACAACTTCACTCCCATTGGAGAGATCAGAGGTCACGAGAGCCCCATTAATGCCATATGTACCAACTCAAGACAGATCTTTACTGCTTCCAGGTAAATTTCATTTAAAACTGTGCCCTGTCATAGTAATGTAACTCCATCAAAGTGTCTAAATACATTGATTAGACATAATGTTATGACCACCTGCCTAAAATTGTGTTGGTTCCCATTTTACTGCCAAAACAGCTCTGATCTGTCGAGGCACAAACTCCACTAGACCCTTGACGGTGTGTTGTGGTATCTGACACCAAGATGTTAGCCCCAGATCCTTTAAGTCCTGTAGGTTTGCCAGGTGGAGCCTTCATGGGTCGGACTTGTCTGTCTAGCACATCCTGCAGATGATTGATTGATTGGATTGAGATCTGGGGAATTTTGGTGCCAGATGAACACTTCAAATTGGTTCTTGTGCTCCTCAAAACGTTGTTGAACAATTTTTACTTTGTGGCTCCTGGAAAGAGGCCACAGGGAATACTTTTTCTCATGTACCCATTGTTGGGGGTCAGACCTGACTGGTCTGCAGCTATGCAGCCCCATTTACAACAAACTGTGATGCAACATGTTATCTGACACCGTTCTATTTGAACCAGTATTAACTTTTGGCCATTAGAGTTACAGTAGCTCCTCACATATGTATATTTAAAGTTTGCATTATTCACTATAGCAATCTCACCCTGCTGTCTATAATAGTGCTCAGCATGTGCATTAGTTTTACCCTTTTGTAATGACCGTGATCTAAACTCACTACAAGAGTTGTTGACAGTAAGAGCAACTGAAGGGTGAGCCTATTAAAAGCATGGATGGGGTGTGGAGGTTGGGAACCAGGGAGCGTAGTGCTTACAATTGAGTTTTATAAACTAGTGGATACTAAAATGTTTGCCCTTTGCCAAAAATGTTTTTCTCAGTGAAATTCTAAATCATGCTGACTTTATCTCAGGCAGTAATCCGCAGGTATGTGTCAGCAGTGAGAAGGTCATACTCCATCCTATTTTTGGCCAGATTTGTTCTGTTGAGCTCGCAGCGGCATCAGACAAAGATAATGCTTATTTACTTGTAAGTGTGTGATGCAGTGAGACATTTTGTGGTTTCCTCAGTCTGCTGGCTTTTATTTATTTTGTTCACTCCTCATTCAGCTGTTGGGCTTTCGCTTGAGATCGACTAACTTCCCTTCACTTCTTATCCTCGTCTTTAATCTCGCTGTTTCTCGGTCACCTTCTCTGCGGCTCATGTTTGGTCTCTCAAACCGCCTTCCTCCTCTCCTCCCTTGTTCTTCACCCCTTCCCTTCCTCCTGCCCCTCTGCTTTCCCCCGTTCTGTCAAACCCAGTGACTGCAGGGTGAAGCTGTGGAACTATGTGCCAGGCTTGACCCCGTGTCTTCCTCGACGGGTCCTGGCCATCAAGGGCCGAGCCACCAGCCTCCCATGATTGCCTGTTCTCTGCTCACCAATCCTTCCCTCCTCTGGTATCGTCTTAACTTACTTCCTCTTTCTTCTCCTTGCCTTTTTTCTTTTCCCTACTATGAATTTTCTTACGTGGGTGACACAAGTTTGTATCGCTTTGCTTTTCTCTTTTTTCTATTTATTTATTTTTTTGTTGGTGTTTTTGTTGTGCCGGTCTGTTTGGCTCAGTTTGTAATCTGTTCGTGGTTAATGGTTTGATTGCGGACCCCTTCTTCCACAAAGACAAACAGCTTCTTCTCGACTGGAAGCAGCTCACAGCTCTGTTCTGAATCTGTCATTTGTGTGTGTGTGTGTGTGTGTGTGTGTGTGTGTGTGTGTGTGTGTGTGTGTGTGTGTGTGTGTGCGTGCAGATGTATTCTGTCTGTGCGTGCTGGACTATTAAAAATGACTATTTTGACATTTAGTTACATAGTTGCTTCAATGAGATTTGAAGATGAGAAAATCAATGCCACCGTATATTTGTTTAATCAATAATGGGCAGTATTTCTGCCGGTGTTCAGCAAACATGGCTGTCTTCAGGGTCCGTCCAGGCTGCGGGGGAGATTTTAAGATGAGAATTGTTTTATTTATTTAGATATAAGCTGCAACTGTGAGTGCATTCATAAAGAGGTAAAAGAGAACAAGGGAAATGGTATAGTTGTTCAACTTGAGACTTCCTTTGATGACAGCAAGCTGAGCCGAAGATGGTAAGATTTTCATTTAGCATGAGCAGGATGGACAGGATTAGGCTGAGCAGTATGGAGATAGAGTTAGAGACTCAAGGCTGGTTTTGACATGTGCAGTGGAGGGATAGTGGATATATTGGACCAAGGATGCTGAATATAGAGTTGCCATGTTGGAGAAAAAGAGGAAGATTACAGAGGAGGTTCATGTATGTAGTTAAGGACGACATGGAGAGGGTTGAAGTGGCAGAAGAGGATGCTAGAGAAAAGGTGAGATGGCAGTAGACAATCTCCTGTGGCGGAGCAGTCAAAAGAAGAAAATAAAAATAAAAAATAAAAATAAAACAGGCTTTAGCTTGGAAAAAGCTCCATGTAGTGCTGTGAAAAACTAAATTCATCCCATGATTCGCTAGATTATAGCAGCAGTAACTGTATGACTTTATCAGTCTTTTGCAACACTTTTATTCTTTTCTTTTTCAGCCTCTCTGTTGTAGATTTGCTGCGGTGCTTGAGGCCATCTGTCGCACACAGGGATGTCCACTCCTGGGAAGATTGGCGCTCTGTTAACACACCAGAAAACTGCCAAAGTTTCTGCTTTTATTGGAGTGCTCACACTTGCTCATGATCAATTAAACCAAGTGAATTTGATTAGCAGTACCTGATTTCTATTTGCCTTCTTAAGTCCTGTGGAAGCAGTAAGGCTGTAGTTAATGCTGTGAAAAAAGAAATGATCAAGTCAACACTTCAAAAACGCTACTTTGTGACCAGTGGGTGACATCACAGCACTACGTCCATCTTATGTATACCGTCTATAGCTTAAAAAATCCACCCAGTCTCTTTCGCTTACCTTTACCAGGGTTGTGCGAGAGGCTGAAGCCTGCTGCCATGGAGCGAGCAGCGGGGTAGACTTTGGACAGTCTTATGAGCAACATATGTGTGTAGTGTTAATTGAAACTGCGATGTTGTTCTGTGCGTTACCCAATTGACTAATACAAAGTGGACCTGAACGGTGAGAATGAGCAAGCGGAACTGTGAAAATGAATCTGCACGGTTAGCAGAGTAACAGTGATGCTGTGGGCGGGTTAATTGGATTTACTTGTTGCAGAGTTATGAACCTGCTCCTAAACTTTAGGTTGGAGAGGTGTTTTTACTATGACACCATGTGGAAGGGTCTTTAATGAAGTCTGTGTGTGTTCGAAGTGCTCTTTGAAGTTCGTGTCTTTGTGTTGTGTCTGATGTACAATGACTTGTTTTGAAAGCAGGAGTGCCTGATTGATGTTCTGTTATTTTCTCCCCTTTGTTGTGTTCGCCTTGATTTTCGACTGCTCATCATCCCACCTCTCTGTCTCTTCGTCTCCAGCGACAAGACGGTGAAGATCTGGCTGTCAAAGGTGTGGAGGAAGAGGTGAGAACCGGCGGGACGGCGGTTCCTTTGTCAGCCATTTTTCCACAACTTGAGCCACTGATCTGTGACCTGCTCGCTTCTACCACAGAAATGTGACACTGAAATCACAGTTTCCAAGGCGATCGGAGTGTCTTTTTTTGTCCTTCTTTGTCACAAGGCAACACGACAAAGCCGAGGTGAAATATGTAGTCAAAAGAAAAAGTCTTTGCCTTTCAGATTGTTTTTTACTGCCAATTTGAAAGTGCCATTCAAATGTGGTGCTACTTGGAAAAGATAAACAGCATCGTGCCTGGCTGTGTGTGTGCATCAGGCAAAAAGGGATTCTCTCCTGACATGAAAACTACTGCAACTTGGTGTCAAATAAATGAAAAAGTGTCCTTCTGTTCCTTCAAACAGTGAGCTGGACCTGCTCAGAGACATGTGTATTCATGCATCTGTTGTTTGAAAATTAAGACACAGCCTGAATTTAAAAAAAAAAAAAAACAAAACCCCAAGAGGGACGCTAAAGAACTGAGACCTGTGTTCATCCATTCGGGAGCGTTGTGGCTGTTAGGACGCTGAACACAAGTGGACAATCATACTGTGTGTTCACAGCAGTGGATCAACAGACTATCTTGGAAATACCATCACTTAGTCTTCTGCTTTTGACTGTGTTTTCTCCCTTTACGATCAACTTCCTCTCACTATCTTAGTGGAACTTTATTGTTTTTCATTTTTGTAATATCTTGTGTTAATTTATTATTTTCCCTACCTCAGTTGTTTTGGACTTACAGTATGAGGTGGGAGTGAACATTTTTACGGGTCTCCGTGTACAAAAACACCTGGTGCTCCACATATTGAAGTCTTTTTTTCTTTAATGCTCTGAGTAGCTCCTGGTCTCTGTGTGGATTTGTCCTCTGTGGGCCTCGGGTTATCAGACTGTCTGGCTGCTGACCTTGCAAATAGGAAACACGTCCAGTAGCACAACCGAGGTAGCACTGGTCCTGGAGGACCCGAACAGACTTTATTATCTGCTCTGTGAAGTGCTAACTGCGGCAAAAATAAGAAACACCCCTGCAGATGCACACGACACAAACAGAAGACACTCCTCACACGTTCTTGAGTGCCGCATCGAGGGCAGAGAGCCAGATCATTATCCAAACCAACCTTCAGTGTGTGTGGCTCATACCTGCCATTTATCCTCGACGCAAAGCATAATAGGAGCGCTACTCGTTTCCCCCGGCCTTTTTTCCTGCTCCACTCTGATCTTTGAGGTTAGTAAGAGTGTCAGACTGACCAGCCTTACTGAGGAGTCCACCTCTTTCCCAGCTACTTCTCCAGGAAGCCAATTTAATTAGAGGTCTCGCAGCTCTCACCAGCTTTTCAGGCAAGATTACTTGGGTGAAAGTAGGTCATAACTGAGAGGGATTTATTATTAACATCCCAATTTTCTTCCACCCACTATTTGCTGCTATACTTACAGACAGGAATAAACTTCCTATACCTGTGCACTGATGTACAAATCTGTTTATGTGGCAGATTATGTGTGTGGGCAGCACATACATATGCACAAACTGTGGACACACACAAATAGACAATTTCAGAGGATGTTTCGGTTATCCATCTTGCCTGATAGGTCCTGACGTCCCTCACTGTGTTGATTTAGTGTCTCTTTAATGAAACGGATTCAGCACTGCCATGTTCCACTGAGACAAACGTACACGTCCATACATGTCGACGGGTGACAGCGACTCTTTAAAGTCATTTAAAAATCTCCTTTGTTTTTTTTTGTCTGACACCTTAAAATGGCAAGCATTCACATCTATTAACTTTTCCTGTACTGCTCCAAAATGACAAGAGCTTCTTTTAACACATAGATGTCTTACCGTTCAATTACAAAAAAACAGCAACACACAATTCACACTCTCTTAGTATTACAGCTAAGCTTCGTTCAGTTAGGCAATATCACTCGGTTTGTTAAAAAAATAATATATTGGTGATTTAGTGCACTTTTCCTTATAAAAGACCCAGAGACATACAGTATGTAGTTGAGTTAAGTGATGCTGGGATCATAAAACAGTGTTCACGTTCAAAAGCGTGCTGAGAGTATGAAGTGCTTTCAGCAGGCTTTCTATCAACTCTGCTCTGATACGTGAGTATGTTCTGCTGCTGTTTCATGTGTCCAACATGAGTTTGAAGCTGCTTACACTCCAAAAACAGTGACATGCAGAAGTTTGAGCACCCCCTTTAAAAATGTCTATTAGTGCCAATGGCTTGGCAAGTAATGTTTGTAAATTTTTATTTTAGCGTTTTTTTTGCAAAAAAAGGTTTCCCCAGCCACTGACTTAAACATAAGACCAAAGCTCGATTTATTGACTTAAGTATTAATTTTTTTCATCCAACCAACTGAGCACTCAAAGCTTTTTCTACAAGTTTCATTCAGAAAATTCACTTTCTACCACTGACACAGAGTCACACTCCAGTGGCACATTGTGGCTAACTTCAGTATCTTGGCCAGGGTTTTCCCGGCACGTGGACTGAAGGAGTCAGGGATCGAGCCACTGACTTTCTGATTGGTAGACAGCCCACTTTACCACCTGAACTCTCCCCAGACGTCTTTATACACTGTGACCGCAAACTTCTGTTGTGACTTCATCGGTCCACCAGACTTCTCTTTAGGATTTCTAGACCTCAACTTAACCATCCATCGTTCCTTTTAACCACCATCTCTCATTTATGTTTACTAACTGACCGCCTCCTCAAAAACACTTTCCTATCTTCTTATAGCTGTTGCTGTGTGGGCATCAATTATTTACATTTTTAGAGTGCTAGGCAGCTGCTGAAGGAGGACAGTGACTGCTCTAGTGTTGGAGCATGAGTATTTGCAAAGCCTTTAATAATTTGCATCATCATCAAGCCACGGCCCAAACGACAGAACTAAGGTCTGAGATCTCAGATCTCTTGGGATGCTCAAACTTTTGCGTGCCACTTTATCGGGGTTTTGGAGTTCTTTTTTTTAGGTGGGGAGGTTGTAATGAATGCAAACATTTTTATGGGGTCAGTATGATGAAGCATTCTTGGGTGTTATTTTTGCTATGATTAGAAACTCAGGTAAAGGTTGAAGGATAATATTAGTCATAACTTGACCCTGTGAATTTAGCTAGCTTTTTGAATCAAACAAATGCCTTGTTTGACAGATTTTTTTACTTTGAGAAAAATGGTACTGTCAGTCTGTAAAATAGCCATTTTCATGTTTTGATTTTGCATCTGATTCCCTTTACTTGTTATCTTTGTACTGTGCTTTTGTGTACAGAGCGTACACAGTTAAGATAGCATCTTCCCAATTTGGCCAAAGAAGAAGATGTGCACTGAATTTTGACCATAAATATGTACAAAATAGGGTATTTGTATAGTAGTTTGAATATAAAACTGGACTGAGTGTTGAAAAATGTGATCAGTGGGGTAATTAAACTCCCAAACTAACAAGTTGTATACTTTGACTCCACCGTACACTATGTATTTATCTGTGCCAATTAGCCAAACTGACCCTGCTCACCAGGTTGGTGATGTGTTTCACATGGTAATAATGCTGAGAAAGGATTTAGCTCATTTTTCAAAACATCTCCATATTTCTATTTAATGCTAGGATCTTGTAGTTCTGTAGCTTTAGGCACTCTCTGTGGTGCCCTGTGCTTGTACATTTTCTGAACGATGCAGATGGTGCTGATCAGAAGTCCAGAAACACCTTTGGGGGGAAGGGGTAATTTAAATGATGTACACCTGAATCAAAATCTCCTAAATGTCTGAATTTGGACTTGTTGACTGTTAATGCGTCACGCAAAAGATGCAATACAAAAATGATGACTCTGCATAAAATCTACTCAGAGAGTTATTATAAACATGCAGAAGCAATAAACTATCATCTGACCTTGGATCAGCCCAACCTTGAGTTGCCCCAAACTCTGAGACTTGTACTTCAGCATCACTTCATTACTTGACGATGTGTAAATAGTTGTGCCAATTACTTTTAACGTATTACAGAGGAGATGCCATTGAGATTAAGTGTCGCTCCTTTCTCATTGGCTGACTTCAGCTGAATCTCTGATAGCTAGATTTAGTCATACTTTGAAAATGAACACAAGGCTGTTTTGCAGCTATGTAATTAAGCCATGTTTTAGACTCAGTTTACAAAGAAAAGCTCCAGCCATGAAAAACATACTGAAAAGAGGACATCCATTTAGATCTGTAGTAGGAGTAGAAATGAGTAATAATAATGTTTCTGCTGATATATTATGTAAGATAATAATTCTGTCATAAAAAAGACAGATCCCTGTTGTCCATTTTTTTTATAATCATGGGAAGAAGAAGTTGTAGATTTTTATAGCTCCAGCTGATATGTTGCTTAATCTGTAAAACCCATTAATCTGTAATCAATAGGAATCTTCCTAAAGACTAATTTTGCTAGTAAGTTAGATGAGATAAAATAATAACATTGGCCAGACATATTTTGTGTGGAGCCATATGAAACCGTTAATCATGTTTAATTGTTATCAGTTAGTATTTCAAATTTACTTATCTGTATAGCACTTTCTGCCATGTATAATGTTGCAAAAACAAAAAGTATTTTGCAGTGGTGGCTAACCTTTGGCTAACCTTAGCAGGGCTAGCTACAGTAGCGTTGGGCTCTTCCTAGCGTCCACATTCCAGTGCACAATATCGTTGCACATCACGTCAGATGCCTGGTTACTTTCCAGTTTATCGTGACAAAGCTGACATACAGTCTCTCTTAATTTAGTTTTTTAAAATTCTGCACAACAGCACTGGCTAGCATGGTTAGCACCAGATGCCACGGTGGCGCAGCAAGTTCTTTGAACCAGTTATTGCCGTTGTACATGAAGAAAAAAAGGACAATACATTTAACTGACTAGCACTGATTAGCAAGAGCAGCAATATTTAAATGTCTAGTCGACTAGTTGCACATCTTGTTAAACATTAAATATCCAAAAGCAGCACCCCCAGTGTTAGTTAAAAAAGCAAAGCTGCGAACAACAAAACAAGCGCTCACACAACCATTTGCTGAGCCCCACTACAAGTTAGTGTTGGTACATGTTCACAGTTTATATTGATAGCTGTGGAAATCCACAGCTATATATAAGGACATACTTGGACAGGCGTCACAGTGGTTTGATTTATTTTTATCTATTCTTGCAAGGTCATTTTCTTTTGCTGCAGAAAATGTAACAAAAACCCAGCGAGCAAATCTGATGCTCTTTAAAACAGGTTTCAGTGCTCATTTCCCTCCAAACCAAATAAAGATGAGGGCAGAGCTGCTTTTGTTACTCTTTGCTCTCATTGCTGTAGTTGTTCCAGTTCTGAACAGGTATTTTTGTAATGTAGCCCTACACAATGTGAAATTGTCATTTGGTTTAGGAAATAATGCTAGGGTACTTCTGTAGGTGGTAAACTGCTTACTTGCTACTGTCATTTACTTCTGTAAAGGATAAAATAGACAGTGCTACTATTATTATCTCTTTACACAGGATATTGATCACAGTAGAGGCCCGTTCACAATATTTTAGCATGTTTACAAATCCAAATTCGCTTTTTCTTATTACATTTTTGAAACTATGACTTGGTCTGTTGCTGTTTTGGTGGTGGGGCTTAGCAAATGGTGAATTGACTGAATACAAAATATAAATCTATTAGTTTTCACAGGCAAGAAAATTCAACATAGGACTACAGAACAGATTGGAGAGTCAAGCTGCCAGTCAGACCAATCGTGTGATTACCACCTTTAGCCCTTTGTTTCCAGCCCAGCCGTCTTATGACTGTATGGGGGGGAAAAAAACTCAAGTAGTCAGTCTCTCAGCATTAGCCTCATGCCTCATCCAACAGGCCTTACTGCCTTATCAAACAGAAGGTGCACGTAGGACATTGATAATCATTCGCCAAATATCCTGAATCTCTGATGACTGTAGATTGTCCTACAGATTGTGGAATTCTGTTCTTAGTGAGTCACCGTCTCTGCTTGCTTTATCATTATGGCTGAAAAAGACTTTCAACTTTGCCTCAGGCTGCTGAGAGGATAGGATCGTGTCTAGGCACAATCAAGAGGGCACTTTACGGCTCTGCTGCTTGTCAGTGAATCTCTATCACACACCAACACACGTCTCCTCTGCAGCGGCTCGAGTGCTTTTTTTCTCCTGGTGTGTGTAGCATGGTAACAATATGTGGCAGTGTCTGTGAAAAATGTACTTGTGGGACATTCATGCAGGGTCAAAGGTCATGTGTGCCTTTTATTGCACAGACTACTCCCTCTTAAATGACTGTAAATATCTGTACTTTTTTTTTAATATATATATATGATAATGTGCATGCAACCAACCCATGTAAAATAGGTTTGAACTGTAAATAATGTAAATAAATATTTAAAGAAGGATCCAGTGTTTCCTCAAGACAATAAATCAGTTCAAAACAAGTGCATTTTGTGGTTTTGAATTCAATGCGATGTAATGTTTGTGCATCCGGCTCAGATCTTTTAGACTTCTTCTGTACGCATTTTGAGTAGTTTTTCAAGCAAAATGTCATCAACATTCACTGATTTTAGCCCTTTAAATGTAAGAATATGCGGATTATGTGGTATTCCTGTACCAGATATATCTCACTAAGCTTGACGAATGAGTAATGAGCATTCTTCAAAGGATAATTTAAATAAAGGTTACCAAAGCTCTATTGTGGATCATAAAGAAATATCAAAAGTCCCTTTGGAGAAGATGAAACTCATTATCAGACATTTAGTTTTGTTATTAGTTATCGTATTTGCCCAGCTTTCTAACTTCTTAGCTCTCGAATCTGTCTGATATGAAAGACCAAAGGATCTCTTACGTTGCAGATGGGAGAGGAGTTATGATCATTCAGTACAAACAGACCAACAGGTTGTAGACGATGAAATGTAGACATGGGAGGGCATGTTTTTCAACTAGATTCATTTCTTTCTACTTCAGGGATAGAGATGCATTTCCAAAACTCATAAATCTTCATTTCCTTTGCAAACTCTGATCATTAACTTGTGTCGGGCTGCGCCTGGCCCAGCCGCGATGGGAGACACAAGCACTGTGATGTACGATGGCCATTAACGCCTCAGAGGAGGCAGAAACCATTTGACGATGCCAGTCACAAACAAATAAACATCCATACACAAACCCTGTCACATCCCAGCTGCATGTGCTCCATCTGCTCTCTTCATACAGCAAACTGCTGAAATTTCATTTGAATGCCTCCGTCTGTTTCATTACACTTCAACGTTCCAGTAAGTCTGTTTTCACTAGCTGATCCATCAGTCCCTGTCCTACAATATTCATCACCTTGTAACTAAAAAACACAATATGAAACTCAGCCAAATACCCCGAGAGTGTAGCTGTGTTCTATATCCAGAGTGTACTGGTAGGTAAAACAAAATGAAAGTTTCCAGTATCACAGTAACCTTGGGTTTTTGCAATAATGGCAGTGTCAGTGGGCCACTTGGCTGGTCTGTCACTTTCCACAGTTTGCAGAAAGAAATCTGTGGACGTTGCAGACATTCTCAGTTCAACTCTTTGATTTTTACAGTAAGGAAATACCTGCAGAACTACTGATATTCCTGTCAGCTTTAACATTTTCTGCTTGTGTTACAAAAGCTTTAAACACCTAAAACTCTGACTGATGCTGTCTTTATTTTCACAGGTGAGCCTCACAGTACCAGCAGCAGTAGTTGCGCAGTCCAACTCCCCATATCTTAAAAGGGATTTAAATTAAAGGCTCATACATGAGTACTGTTCACCTGCCAAAACACAGCTTGATGCTGCCTGTTAGCATAGACATAGTGGATAATTTAGCTAAAGACCCAGACATTTTCCTTGGTAATCAGTGGAAACCAAAACAGAGCCCAAACTGAATATGCCTGAAGTTCAAAGCTAATGTATGATACACATTCACCAGCATGAAAGGTGCTTTTGTTTCAGTTTTAATAATAAATAGAACTAAAATTGACATTGTCGCAACTGCTCAGTGTGTTATGAGCTGCCACTTAGGAAGCACACACACTTTTCCAACTGAATTCTTAAAACCTTACTTTATATGACTGATCCTAAATAGACAATAACAGAAATGACACTTTATTATATAATTTATTAGAGTCCCCCCCTTTTTGATGATAATGCAAGCGAGGAGGAGCGACATTATGGAAACGAGCCCAACTGTGGAAAAGGATTAAGACTGAGACAGAAGATGAAACACAAAAAAGAAAGGAGTTTGGTTTTGAGTGCTGGCTGGGGAAGAAGAAGAATCATGTTGAGGGGGGGAGGGGTTACAATAAATGGGAAGCTGCAGGCTTATTATTTTAAATAAAATGAAGACGCAGTAGGAAGCACCTCCAGTGTGACATTAAGGGAGGTAAACTGAGAACATGCTCCACACATATTGAATAGGAAACTGAACAAATGTGTGGAGCGCAAAAGCTGAACAATTTGCTAATGCTATACCTTGAAAGAACATATACACGGATAATAACTGTGGAATTAGAGCCTTTATAGCGAATGATTGACACTTTAGGTTAGAACCTTATTCACTCTACATAAATTCACACTTAGGAAGAGAAATAAGTGAGAGGTACTCTGAGAGACAGTCGTGAACTGAGGATATTAGCGCTGAAGAACTAATAAACTTCTTTTCCTGCAAAAAAACAAACCACTGTTTTTCACTCAAACAGCAAGCATTTGCACATTTGTGCACCCACTGAGCACAGCCTTGGACTATCAGCCATATACCACAGTCTAATCCCATTATGCACTCTCTCTTTGAGTCCGGGTTTACGCACACCCCGATGCTCTGTGGTACCAGGCTTATTCACATCAGAGGGACACTCAGTCATTCATGAACACAGACGGAAAAAGCACAGTGCTGATTTAATAATTATGTTTAGTGGGAGCTTTTGTGAAACACTGTTCATGAGTGTATAATATACTGAATACTTAATTAATTGACAGATTAGTCATATTCAAGTAGGCAGGTTCACTAGAAATGACTCAGCTATAAGGCCAGAGACACATTCAGTGTCACTGTCATAGGTGAAAACCAACGCTTTCTTTGTTTGTCACTGACAAACTTTACAGTCCAGAGCTAATTGGCTTCATATTATGACATTAACAATGTAATTATAATTCGGAGATGTTCACTGAATCATTTTCTCAGTTTTAAAGGAACAATTTTTCATTTTGAGAAGTACACTTCTTGCCAAGAGTCGAATAAGAAGATCTGTTCCACACAGGTTCTGATTTCCCTTAGTGGCTGCTGTCCTGAGACCACAGTGCGCCTCTACAGTTATACAACAATTACCTCAAACCATTATGATGAGCCCAAACTCCTTTGATGATTTCCCCTTTGCTGTGATGAAGACCTGAAACTATTTTAGAATATGCTATCCTCCTGTCGCCATAATTATCTCCAGTGCGTAACTGTGACCTCTGACTATTTAATTTGGCTAAGATGTGACAGCGCCTGGTGTAATCAGTGCAGCTGAGAATAGAGCACCTCACTGTTAATTCTTCCAACAACCAACAACTAAGTCTTGTAAAATGTGGTAAATAAAAAAAAGTGAGTGGTTGACTGAATCAATTTTAACGTGAAGCATCATGCAACGAAGCAGGCGATGGGTTTAGGGCTAAGGGGACGCTGGTTTGACTCAGTGTTGAGCAGGTGACGCTCTCCCTCTGCTTTCCTCTTACTGTCTGTCAATAATGTTGAAAAAAGCCAAAAAAAAAACCAACCATGGGTTAAGTTCATGATATCTACAGTACTTGCCATCTTGCCAGTTTCCTTAACTCCACGAGAGACAGGGAAATCAGTATTATGGGCAACTTATTAAGGTTGCTGTGAGCTTTATGACCCTAGCTCCAACTTTTGCTTATTGCATACAATTTAAGTTAATCTGGGGAAAGGATCTCTAACCGGAGCTCCACCATCATTAATTGTTAGATGGCTTGTTATGGAGTCTTAGCATAAAGACCTAGGTTGAATCAGTCCAAAGATACCTTTATGGCTCTCTATTTATCTGTAATGTTGTAAGAAAATAGAAAAAAGAAAGGGAACCCCCCCCCCCCCAAAACGAAACAACAGATTGCACAACATGCTAGCTAGTTTGCCCCGTTCCCATCTTTGTGCTAAACTCACAGGCTGCTGGCTTTAGCTCAGTATTACAAAATATGGAGTTGATCCTCTCATCTAACCTGATCATAAAGGTGTGGAAGTAAGTATGCAACTTATTTGAAAAGTTCCCAGTCAGTAGGTCTAGAAATGATTGATTTCAAGGATAGCTCTGTTTGTGCTGTGCACTATTCTGTATATTTTTTCACTTGGTGAAGTTTTTTTGGATTTAATGTTCCTTTTGTTTGCAATTTTCTCTCTTGTGGCTCTTGAGTCACCCAGCTGAATGTATTTACAACAACATCATCTACATCAAGAATCATAAAATGGGTCACTTTGTGTATGAAAATACAAATACTTTCTCACAGATCATTACAACTGCAGACAAAACAACAGATTTATGACAACAGGTTAAATCACACATAATGTGTTGTGAAATAGCTATTTATTTATAATTTTTTTTCTTTATTTAAATACTTTCCAGTCCCCTTTTGAATCCACTTTCTTGGTATTTCCATGTAATGTGTGCTTCTGCCTCTCACTTTGTCTTCTTCTCTGAGTCTTTTTCTTTTGCTTGCTTTTTTGTGCTGCTTTTCCATGGCAGGAAGTTGTAGGATACCAGAACGGTGAGAAGGTAAGTAGCCATGCCAGTGTATCCACCGATTACGAGACACAGCGGCTGTGCCAGCACGAACAGACAGAACACGTTCATCGACGCGTGGTCGGTCAGCTCCACCCGGTCATCCTGCGCGGCCTTCATCACTCCAAAGAAATACATCAGTGCCAGCGCCGGATAAAAGGCCAGTTCCATCACGATGATGAAGATGACGTGGTGCCTTTGGATTTAACGTGCATAGTATTTAAAAGTAGTTTGTAAAAATCCACTGACTTATTGAGTATTTTCAGAGACACACTCACCCTCATGAAATACGCTCTCTCCCAGACAGAAATCCCTCTCAAGTGTGAAAGAGGCTGTGACAGAAAAACAGACTGGGACCTTTGATCCTTCATCACAACAGTCTTGTCAAACATTAGCCACCTACTTTCTTCCTTATCGGGACACTCGAAGGTTGTTGACATCTCAACGTGATCTGGTGTTTTTTTTTAAAAAAAACACCCTTTTAAATACTCCACCTGACCAACACAGTGTGCTTTCATGCGCATCATCTAAAAAGTTAGCGCGTTCCTCAACAGTTCTTAAAATATGTCAAATTAACTTTCATTTTTTGAGCACATGAATAAGCTGACTTGTGTGAACTGAATGACGTATCATAAATTAATTACGTTATAAAA